TGTAACATAATACTGTTTTCAAGGAAATTTTGGAGAAATATTGATATCGAAGTTGTTGATATCTTAACGAAGTTATTCATAGTTTCCCTTCGTTAGCGAAATCTCGCTATTTTGATTTCGAACTTCGTGAGCTCGGAATTAAACGTTCCCGATAACAGTTAGATTATCGTGGTGTTATTTCGCGTCTCACAGTTCTTGGCACATTGAAGCTGTATAAAAATAAAATGCTTTAAGCACCGTGTGGCATTCTGTTGGAATCCGATACAGCGCTACTTCATTTCGCGAGGCTTGGTGTGCGATTACTTAATCAAGATCGTTATCCTCTCTTTCACACTTGATGATCCTTCTATCGTGCTGTCGCATATAAAATTATCATTAGCGTCCTTCTCTCGTCTCTCTCTATTCATTAACATACTTCATCTTTTTACTATAGCCTCTTCAATTTATATTTAAATCATGTAAATATATTCTAATATTTTAAAATATTTTAAAATATTTATTTCAAGATCCTAAGCACAAATAATTAGTACGATTCTCATTAACAATCTGGAAAATTATAAAAAATGATTTTTGTTTAAATTAAAATGGAATTTTTCTTCTCGAAAATTCGATGATTATATTTTTACATGTAACAAGTGTTACAGACAAGCTATAAATTCGAAAGAATTAGCAGTTTTATAGATCAATTCCCGTTTCGGGAAAATAACGTTCATTTTTCGTAGGTTGGAATGTGATAAATGAGTTTTCGTGCTTGAACATGTTGTGGCTTTCACGGACGATGAAAGTTTGATTTTTCGCCGAGGTCAGTGGCAGCCAGTCGATGAGTAGAACCGCATTACTGAAGTGCCAATCACAGGCGTATCGCGGTGAAGCTTCGGCACTCAAATTGTAAAAATATTCCACTAGTTTTAACCTATGTTATGCTATCAATCCCAACATAAAAAATGGAGATGATATACATCAGAATTAAGTATTATTCAATTACTAATTTGTGCTTTGATTTTAGTGTTCGTTTAGTGAAAATTCGCGACTGAAACTGGTTACGCGTTTCACATCGGGGTTCTCACTCGTATATATGTAATACAAAATGAAAAATTAAATAGAACATATCGAAAAATTTTTAAAGGTTATCGAGAGAAATTATATATAAAATAGACATGAATTATTTTACTATAGTTTAGAAGATATGAATCAATAAAAAAGAGCAGAAATATATAAAATGTCATGAAAATAAAAAAAGAGTCTAGTTTTAAAATATTTCGGAAATTCTATTGTTTCCAGAATATAGAAAATCAATTTTAGTCATTGAAAATACATATTGAACTTAACCTGCAAATGAAGATTGACAAGAATAAACTATTGTATTTTATAAAATCAATATAGAAAATTGATTTTTTTTACTTTAAATATTGAATATAATTTTACTCTAAGTATTTTAAAAATATATATAGAAAATCAAATTTGATGTTTATTCTTTGTTGTCAAAAATGCAAAATTTTCCTAATTACCGTGTTAAAATTAACGAATGAATTTCCATACGAGAATAAAATTGAGACAGAGAAACATGTTATTCCGTGTTTTCAATATCACAAAGGTGACTAACGCGCTCATATTTTATGACATACAAACAAAAAGAAATTGACACTACTTCAGAACATAAAAATTATTTTCTAAATTACTGTAAGTATCTTTTGTACCTGTTATAAAAATATTTAAAAAAAAATGAATGAAAAAAATGATTCTTTTACCGAGATTATGCCAATTGATTTCAATCTTCGATGGAATATATGCCAGCATGTGTTTAAATCAAATATTGAAATGCTGTGGCTGGCATCAGGAAATTTCAAACGATCTAAGGTTAAAAATACACGTTGCAATATCTGACTAGATGGAGTTTCTCCCTCAGATTTTTCGTTCGGTTCAACGAATATCAAATGTATATGTAGCAATCCATCGGGTTGCTTCGATACAGACCCGATATTGTCCCGTTTTCAGGAACCAATTCTTTCGCCATGACGTCGAAAACTCTTGTCTGAGTTCTTATTAATTCCACGAAATCTGGAACACCCAACGTGGGTCCGGCGAGACATTAATTATGGAGTATCGCAGCGTTCGAGTCCCACAAAGGGAAAACGTATCAGGAAGGAAAGACCGAAAAATTTCTCACGCGACGTCAAGGTATAATCGATCGACATAGTAGAGGGAGCGAGAGGGAGAGAAACTCGATTCTACAGGCACGCGTTCTTTCTCGTTGATATTTAACGATCCCGCGAAGAATCGAAGGTACGAGCAGTTGGGCCGTAGATATCACTCGCAGTTCCATAGAATCCATCCACTTCAAGTACACAGCGTCGTATGCGCGTGTTATTGACCCCGAGACAAAGTGCGACGAAGTCACAGACGGTGTCGACGATATTATAGGACGCGGATTCTTATAGGACGCGGATGCGCACTTACGATATTGCGTTCAACATGTTATACGACATTTGCGACAATGCAACAACAGACTTTCTATCCATCGATAGACTTTACAAAGTCGTTCACGTACCAACGGAGTTTCCGAGTTGCAGCTATAGCTATTAAAGCGCGTGATGCGCAAATAGCATGACTGCTCGAAAACGCAAGGACGATCCCGAGAGAGCACCTCACTGTCATTCAAACAGCCTTAATGTCTATAAGGATAATGTCGTCTCTCCGAGGAAAAATTAATTGACAGCAACGCTCCAAAGAAAATTAATTAGGACGACTAATTGTCCTCGATTAATTGTCAGATACGTTGGGAGAACGCGAACATTTAATCGGGGATAATAAAATCGCGACTTCTTTATGCTCGAATTTTTACACTGGAAATAACGGAGCAATAAATTATAATGTAATTACATAAATTTTGCATTCTGTGTCTTTCATGATAAACTGTATAAGTAGAAAAAAATCGCATGCGCGATTATAAAACGTTTATAAAACGTTTATCATAATTAACAACTGTTCCATACCTAATATTATTACATATTTTATTCACTGAATAATATTGACACATTTAGAAATCAAATTGCTCATTGAGGAACACTTTTAGTGATGAAGGAATATCTATTCCAGAGCGGCTGAATCTTATCTGTGATACTAATGCTACCCATTTGTCAGAGCTGTCTTAACTATCATCAATTTGGTCCTTTCTCAATAATATATCCGGTCATTAGAAACGAATTTGAGTTTTCAGGACGTTCTAAAAATGTGATAACTTACCTGGGAGATATTCTACTCGATTCGATTTCTTGTTTCGTTTATTTTTAATTACCCTTTTGTACAATTTATGTATAACGAGCTATATACATACTTAATTTAAAGTAATTCGATCGAATCTCTTAGTTAATTGAATAAACTTCCGAGATAATTAATAATCTTGCTGACGGCGTACATTGTATTCCCTAAAGCTAGTTCCATTAATCTTTGACTTGATCGAGAGAGATATTTTCGAGAGAGCTACTTCGAATTCTGCTTTACGACGATGAAACATCGCAACGATACATTTTGGCAAATTGCCTAGGCGGGTGAATTAAATGGAATCGCTGTAACTGTATACCGATAGATTCTGTCGATATCACCGTAAAAACATGGCTCACGAAACAATTCGCAATTCAACGTCGATTTCAACGTGGATTATAAAAAATATTGTCACGCGTGAGAACGAGAGATCCTACATAAATAGTGTAAATTTTATTTAAATTACTTCGATTTAAAATAATCGAAGAAATTAAAAAGTTTATCTTTGACAAAAAAACATTATTCTTATCGTATCGATAATGTCATTATTTACTTATAGTTTGAATCAATTAACTGGCACAACTTAAATTAAACTTTAAATGAATAAAAAAGAGAATTAAATAGAGAACATAATCGTCTTGGATTATATCAATTTTTCGGCGATAATATAATAAATCTTAAGTGATACATATATATTTTTAGAGTATCATCACATGCATTTGTACAAACACATACACATACACGATCGCAGCTTTATTGTAACTTTCTAAATACAACTTCAATGCTATTTGTTTATTTTGTTGTTATTGCAATATAAATTAATTGTTTATTATTTCGCGCGAAAATCTGATTTTACGTGCAATCAGTGTGATGAATAATCTCACAGTAAATAATTAAATGAATCAAGCCGCGTTTTTAATCATCTCGTAAACGCACTCACACAGTCGCGCACCAGGCCGTGTTCCAAGTCGCATCGATCGTATAACTTCATCCGCTCAAAGTTACGTCTGAATGCATTATTCAAACTGATCCTAGAATTCAACAAACTCGTCCGGTAAAAAAAAGGAAAGAATCGTGATGAATAAATGTGAACTGGATCACGGCCTGGTCCATAATTAACAAGGACAAAGAAGTAGCTGCATCGTTGTGCAAGCCACTGCAAGCGCAGGTACATTTGGTAGCGAAAACGTCGAGTTTAATCCTAAAGAGCGAGCTTAAACTGATGCTTACTAGTAATTGGCTAAAATCACAAATATTTTTACCGATTATAGTTTCATATTTTTAAAAACATAATGGATAAAAAAGTTTTGAAGTGTAGATATATTTGGCTGCTCGAGCAGTAAAGATAAATCTATTTTTGAATAGTAGAAAATGTTCCGAAACTATCGAGCGTCTTTTTCAGCCACTAATAATAGATGGCAAAGTAAAAGAAGACACTCGTCTGCTTCAATATGACGTGATTCATCGAAATATTCATGAAAATTAAGGTTTCGAGATAAATGAAGAATTTTCTTCAAATTTTCTTCAAATTAAACTTGTTGCAAAGTTTATGGCACAGAATATTTGTGGAAGCATCTCTTACATTAACAGCTGCTACTATTTAGGATTAAACACCTATCGCACACTAGATCCGTAGTCACGTGAGACGAGTCGGTCGTGTGGCGGCAGTCTGGCGATTTGGAACACGGCCCCGCATAGTCACTGCCTGTACACCCCAGCGTTGTTGAGGAGCCACTCACCTGTAGCCCGTTTACACGGCTCCTGCCTTGGTTCCTGCCTCTTGATCGGCATCTTCATCGGCAAGGCGTCGCGTACATCCGCGATATCGACTGGTTTTACGATAACGTCTACTTGCTCGTTGTCGATCGCTGTATCCATTGTCATTATCATCGTCGTCGTCGTCGTCGTCGGCGTCGCTGTCATTGTCATTATCGCCGTCGTTATTGCGTTCGTTGTCATCATTGTCGTGGTCGCCGCCGTGACGACGGCGAGCTGTGAATCGTGAGCATCTCCAGGTTGTTCCACGACCGGCAACCCTCGCCCCGAGTCCGTCATCGAGGTGCGCTGCTGTTCCTGGAGTAAGCAGGCGCTCGACAACAAATCCCATTGGCGGAGCTTCTCTCGGTCGAGCTCGAACGATGTCGCGGACATACGGGCGTCCGAGATCGAGCGAGCCGGGGGAAGGTTGCCGTCCTCTAAAAAATGATTCCTATCCGAAACGGTAGGCTTGTGGTACGCATTGCTTTGTGGATCCCACACGTAACCGCCGGTGCCGATCATTTCCATCGACAAGGTTTCGTAAGTGACGTCGTCATCGTCCTCGATCGACTGTTCTCGCGTATGATGATCCTTGTTTGTCCTACGTTTGACTCGCGGTCGCTCACCGCACGAAGATTCCTCTGTGCAATTATCTCTGCGTAAAACAACACTGTCGTTCACGTAGGTTGCTCCTCGAGTGATTTTGCCACGTGACTTCGCATCACCGGATCTTCCAGGTCTCGGCGGACTGTCTAGATTATCCAATGATCTGGCGTTTCGCAGGCTCACCCTTCTCAGACTCTCGCACCAAAGGCTATCCTGCTCCCAGGGATCCTCGGAATTGAAACTGCTATCAATCATGGCGCTATGATTGTCAGATGATGGCAAATTTTGCGACGTTGCCTCGACTTGACTGGTCGGAGCCATTGAAGTAATCGCTATCGCTGTCGTTGTCGCTGCCGCCATTCGGTTAGCTCGGTTTCGCTGCTCTACTAAATTTTGCAGGCCGACGTCGTCGAGTAATCCCTCCAGAGATCTTGACCGACGATGAGACGCCTGTGTGACGTGCGTCGGTTCCGTGTTATCGACGTTCCCTGGATTAACGGACTTATCTCTAAGACCGTGGGGATATAAGTTTCTAGTCTCGGGCAGAGATACATCTGGCAGTGGATCAGTGGACTTTACCCGGCGTAGCGTGTCAGCTTCGTAGAAATTTCTCTTATCTACGAGAGCAGCCTTATTGTCGCCTAGTAGTTGACAGGTCGTCCGCCTCAATTCCGCAGCGATACGTCTAGCCTCGTCTATGTCGTCTACTTGAATTTGTCGCGGCATTTGCCGCGCAATCGGATTCACTATACGACCGATATCATTCCGCTTGTTTAAGCCGATCGCCGCGTCATCCCTCTGATTATTCAGTTGAGGCAATCGTGAGGTATGGCCGATCATCGGTTTGGTCAGCTCCATGTCCACGCTGTTGACACTTGCCTGGAGATCAGAATAGTAATAGGGTGCTCCCGATTGATCACTTTGAACACGCTGCTCGCCGGCATTTGGTAAATATGATTGCTGCAGAACAGAGTTTATAGTTTGCATCGACATTGGATTGGGATAATGACTCGAATCCTGGCTGGAAGTCGATCGATGGTTCGGCAGCACATGTCGCACACATGTGTCGTGACTGGCGGACCTTGAGTGATTCGGAAACCTTTGCTCGGAATACGCGTTCACGTTCTGCAGCATATTCGTCAGCGTGCTGCCGTGATTCACTGAGGACATGGATGCGCTAATAGGGGAGTGCATCGAAGATTGCGCGCTCGCGGGTCTCTGACAAGCCATGGATGTCGAGATGGACACCGCGGCCGATGCATTCGAGTAACTAGAATCCCTGCTATGAGAGATTGGCAGTGCGCTAATGCTCTGAGACGTGCTCTGCATCCTGTGATCGCGCGGTGGCTCGCTGTCGGATCGAACCGCCGGCGAACCGCGAAGCGGTGAGAAGCTCGCGACGTTTTCGTAATGTGCGTCGCCGGTGAAGGACTGCGAATGTTGATGAGTTGGCGGTAAATCGGATACTCTCATGGATGGCAAGCTGCTTGCCGAGCCAGTCTTGTTTTTGCCGGAATAATCGAACGGCCGATCGAGATTACTGGACATTAATTTCATCTTCCTCGATAAATCCTGACACGTGGTCTTCTGCAATTTATCGACCACCAACATATTCTCGTTGAATCCGTAGATACTGTTGTAGCTCGGATCTTTCGCATAAAGATCCACGTTGAACGCATCTCTAGCTTGTAATTCTTCCAAGTATTGATCGAGGTCAATGCTCGCGCCGTCGAAGCGACTTCCCAACGATTCTAATTCGTCCAGACTATCTAGAACTTCACAAACGTCATCGCTGACTGGTCTTCTCTTCAACTGCCTGTATCTTGCTTCTTCTTCTGGATTTCTAAGCTCGATCGAATCGCTTCCGGACGCACTTTCCAACGATATCCTGCTATCTCTAAAAGTGGAGCTGATGGTTGCATCAGAGAACCTTGACGGTGGCCTGTGCGTCTCTATTTGTCCTACTGGTTTATTCCAAGATTTTGGAGAATCGCGATTCAACGCATTATCTTTCATCGTAGTCACCTGTGGCGAGACCTTCTTTATTTCTAACGATTCCTGCATATCCAATGATTCTAAATCATCTAACGGTGGTGGAGAGGTCGGTATTGGTGGCGGGGATACTAGCTCACTGTCCGACGAGTCGTGTAATTCTGCCATCATGTTGCGACTAGCTCCCAGATAGTATGAAGCCGGTCGGAAGGTGTCGGACAAACTGAATCGCGGATGCCGTGGCGCGTCTATGGATTCTAGGTCCTTGGACGATTCATCATCGGCGTCAGAACTGTCGGATTTGAGTGCCGTCAAGATGTCGGGCAGATCGCCTCTGGAATGCGGCGAATTCTCACTGGCACTGCTCTTTTTCATCGAGGATGCTTTACTACCATCTTCGTCCTCCTTTTCGGACAATTGATTCACTTCCATATATACCGGCTCCATCTTGTTATCCCGCACGCAGACAAATTCGTAGTGAGACGACGGGTCCAATGTAGAATAATCGCCTGAATCATGCTTTCTGCCGTCTTCATTCGGTGCCAAAAGAGAACGAGTCATTCCATTTTGCGCCATCTCCACATACGAGCTTTCTTCATCGGCGAATAGACTTTCCATCATCTTAGGATGCGGTCTATCATCACTGTTAGGATCCAATATGGCCTTTCTAGGAGACATGGGAAGATAGTGATCTTCACTATTAATATCATCCTGGTTCGAAATGATATCGTTGTCAGTGGAGAATTGGTCGCTGTGTGTTAATAAAGATTCAGTCATACTTGTTCTTGTACAGCTAGGACTCGGAATAACATTTAAATCAGTTGATGGCACGCATTGTATATTCTTACTCGATTGTTCTGTCAGACTGTCCTTTGAACTGTTCATTTTATTTTGCTTCAAAGATTCATCAGAATTTTGTACGACATCTGTATACAGAGTGTCCAAAGTAAAATGTTGCGTAATATCTTCGTTCTTCTCAATAAATTTTTCTTTCTCATCGTCTCTATCTCGTCGGTCCAAATTACTTCCAATATCATATCGTAACGTTTCATTATCACCGTAATCTCCGCGATGCTTCGAGTCTTGCCGCTTCTCGGATTTCGATCGATTAGTCTGTTGTGATTTTCGTTCGAAATCCGCTAAAAGATCTTTGACTGATTTGTTACTGTCAGTTGAAGCTTGCTTAGCATGTCCTTCTTCTATGCTTTTGTGCTTGGAAGCATTCTCCGAAGCATTTGTATCACCTAAAGCGAAACTGCGTATGACAGACGAGGTTTTGTTTGCGCAGTCAAGCTTTGAAACATGAGCTTCAGTCGCTTGCAGTGGCGATACTTTCAACGGCTCCTGCATAGTCAATATTTCCTTGACCGGACTGGCGCCATCCATGTTCATCTCGAAAGACCTAATTCTACATTGAACCAGATTCATAGTTTCAAATTTCTCGCTCTCATCTTCCGTTTTCGATGGCACCGGCACTTTCTTAGGGTTAATGTATTGATAAGAAAACTCTTTTATAACTTTGCTCTCATCGATGCCAGGATCCCATTCATCATTATCGTCCTTGGAATCCCATTGTACGTTCTTTTGAACGTGCCAGGACTCGTTAGTTCGATAACCACACAAATTGTCGGATCTATTGCTCTCGGTCATACTTGTTTGTTGTCCGTCAAATTTTTGCTGAGCGAAACCGTAGGCGGTTGACGACTTCAAAATACCCAGTGGTTTCTTCGGAGTCTTGTGCCTCGCAGGGTCCTCAAAGGCGGTCTCGGGATCTGATCTTCTAGATAACGATTGTTTGTCTGCTGAGGACGATGCGTACGCATAATCGTTTCTCATCATCGGCGGAAAGCTGACCTCGTCGTAACCGGCATCCGGTGGTATACCACCCAGAGAGGAGAGCATGCTCCCCGGGTTCGCTTTACGACTGTTAAGGATTTGTGACTGCGAGGTCTGATTAACACTCGTGCGGCCGGTCCCGGGTATCGTGACGTCCTGGACGGCGGACGTCGCCGTCGCCGTCGATGACCGATCGTCGCCGGCGTGCCGGGGGCTCCTTCCTGCATGCGTGGGTCTGCGCGAGCGCTTCCTCCGGACATCTCCCAGCTCTGATTTGTTCGTTACAAAACACAAAGACACGAGTATGTCCGTTACTTACGAGTGCCGTGTATATGTGTATGAGAAAGAAAAATAATCCCATTTATTCCGGTTTTTATACCCACTAGATAACTCTAAGCAAACTCTAAGCAAATTCCCGTTTCTATATCCATTAGATAACTCTAAGCAAACTCGTCAAGCCCGACAACGACATCAATGATCATTGCACCGTGTAAGCAGCAAAGACATCTATTGTCTATTTTAATTATTAACAATTAAAGTTAAATTTATATATTGTTAAAGTTAAATTTATATGTGACTATTTGAAAGGATTTTATACATCTTGAAAGTTTACGATCAGCTTGAGAATGATAAAATTCAGAGAATACATATATTAAAAATAAATTTCTTGTTGCGCGATTCGATCGTAATTAATTGTAATTGATGCAATAATCCCGATAATCGACTGATTTTGCGGTTAATCATATAAATAGCGAACACGCGAGCTGGAAGGTAGCAATCGTAATTGCGTAACTACGGCAAGTAGTGTTAGTGAAATTCTTTGGCATGCCATGCTGACCCATATTTTCTACGGTAATCTGATTACGATCGATGTTAAGTCGAATAGGATATCGATATTCGGTCACTTAGACAGATAAGTTTTAAGATTGTTAATCGTTCCCATTCACCAGCCAGCTTAGACCCAACAGCAGCAGATAGAAGGAGCCCCGCGGAGAAACGCTCGCAGATATCCAGATTTTTAATTTCCTCTTGTATTTTATAATTACATACTTCACATCTCGTTGAACTGATATGATATATAGTTAATCGTTTCCTCGACGATTATGTTAGTAAATAAAAATAAAGGAAAAGCAGCTTCGATTTTATAATCGATTTTATAATGCTTCGCAATTCGTGAAGAATAATTCGGGTGCCTTGCATTAATTACATTTATTCGCACAATCGGGAAAATATTTTCGTTAGACTACATTTTTTTTTACATGTCATTGATTGAAAACATGCTGGTAATTTTTATTTACAATGAAAAAAAGGACGGACAAAATCGCTTGACATATTTCAGTTATAACATAACGAATACCATTCACAAAATACGGAATTCTCGACGTGCGTTTTCGTGAAAAAAAAAAAAAAAAATGCCTTTGTTTCCACGAGCAAATATGCACATTGAATTCTTCACCGTGTTAGCAATTAAGTACCATCATGTTAGCATTTGGATTATTTTTAGCTGTAGGTCAACTATCTACTTCTAACTGAATACACCGCAGACAAGGCGCTTTCGAGGGACTCGAGGCGATCAAAATATTTGACAAAAAATTCACAAAGTTTTTTTTTTTTCTTTACAAAAACAGTGGATGAATCTGTCTACAGAAGATACTTATAATCTTTCCAATAATTCGAACATGCTTTGTTTCGAGCACATGCTCAACGTCCTCAAAATTCGTTCCCCAAAAGAGATAATTGTTCGCGCGAACTTCAATATTTTGACCAGGTCCCTCGTTACGCAGGGCGATCGAAGCTACCATTTAAATGATAAGTTCAGGCGAGCTATCCCTACCTTCGTCATCGCTGGAATAGCTGTTGTAGCGTGGCACGTTGACGGCGGTCCGACGACCGTCCGAGCTCTTACTCCTGACATGCGAACGATGCCCGTCCTCTCGCCTTCGGGAGTGACGATTCTCCGCTACGGCGGCCTCGTGCGCTGCCAAATCCAGCAGCGCCTGTTGCTTGTAGTAACTCGAAAGATCATTTTGCACCCTGCCCCTATTGGCCGAACCGGATGGCTTTCGTGTCAACGGAGATTGCAGCATACGCTGCTTCCATTCTAACAGCCGCTTCATCGATTCTTCGCGCTGAAATACATATTGTAACGAACCTTCCCATTAGCTAACTGACAGAAAGATATATGCTATTTTTTTGAAGGTACGCGGAGAGAACAATACCGTTTAGACCATCAAAATAATTATTAAATTGTTTGCTAAAATATTAAAATTGTTTGTAGCATCGTTATCAATGTTTAAGTGTTTTTATTAATTATTTTCATAATCCAAACAAATGTTATTTTCAGATCTGTATCTAGCTAAATTTTTTAATACTTCAGCAAAATCGTTTTTTCCATATATTTATCGATCTCTCGGGGCTTGACTGCTGATGGCGATATTAATAATTAAAATTTTCGATAATAGGATAAATGAGAAATTAAAAAAAGCTATTAAAAATGATTAATATGACATGAGTAACATAATAGCAATGACGACGATTGAGTGAACGATGGTGAAAGTACGGGCAAAAATACGAGAGAATCATGAGGTAATGTGCAGCTATGCAACGGGGCTGTCGTGAATCACGCTTATCCACCGATGTTACTGACACGGTTGTCTTGTATGAGCTGATGCGAGCAATGCTGATGGGCTACCTGCCGACACTTTCTGATTCTAAGAAGCGCATCGCTCTATGACTCATTCTAGCTTTTCCGGGATATGAACGAAAAGCAAATTCGAAAAAATTCACTTAGAAATATTTGACAATACATTTTTACATCACATAACTCTAGCGCCAGTATTGATACGCTTTACAAATAACATTTCGTACATTCATTTAATTCGAAAAATGAGTTTTATATTCGTAAAATATTTCAGTTAACAAAATCTGTATTTATATTAATCGATTTCACTTGTAAACTTCACTTGTAAACTTTAAAAAGTAAAATAAGAATATGCCGATTTTTCAAAGAAATTATATAACTTAGGTACATCCCTTATATTATAAGGTTGATATTTATCTAAAATATATCGATATATTAATAACACGATGAAATGTTACGAAATGTTTTGAGAAAAAATTCGCGCATTTTTATGAAAGTAGAAAATACTAGATCTCCTTACCTGCTGAATCTTGCGTTCACCATCCCGCGAGTCCTGTTCGGAGGACCTCTCGGCGTAGTCGTCGTCGTCGGGATCAAGGGCGGCAGGATGCCGTGTCCTTGGCAGACGCGCCGATGCCGATCTGCAGAACTGCTGCTGTTCGCTCCATCGTCTGCTGGCACCTGCGTGACCGGCGTGACACGTCTGAGCGATGTGGGTTCCATGGGCAGCATGACCCGCTGCTCTTCCCCACCCGTCGTACTCGCCGCGTGGTATTCTACGAGGAATCGTGTTGTCTTCACCATGTGTCAGCGTTTCTCGGCCATTCGCCTCGCAGCTCTTCTCGCGCAAAGATCTTCGAAGTTTCGGATCAGCACCCATTATCCTGATAAAAAATAACTTGAGTATGCGTTTCTTTTCTTGGATTCAGTTTATTGTACCGCGTAATTATGTTCATAATCCGATAGAAAGACGTACTACTATATTATTTTATTTCAATTGTATTTTCGTAAGCACTGTCCCATTCTATAAAATTTAAAAGGTATATTTTAATTTTTACAGAACGGGAAAGTTACTGTAGTGGCACTGAAACAATGTCATATTTTAAACAAAGAACACAATAAAAAGAACAAAATAAAATAACGAATTATAACAAATCGTGCTAAAAAAATTGTAAAATTTTAAAAATAGACTTTCGTCTTTTAAAGGTTAAAACATTTAATATTTTTTTATTTTAATATTTTAGTACTCTACATTATAGCAATTCAGCTTTTTAAAAAAATACTTTAAAATATCGAGTAAATAGGAGAAAATTGAGCTGGTAGACTCTTCAAAAATTCATGATACATTTATATTTATATACATTTTAAAACTTGATTGGTTGAACATTTAGATATCTATATGTATATTTCTATCTATTTTGAATTTCTATATTCAAAAATTCCTCTAAAAAATACACGCAACTCACGCATATATGCGTACTTTAAAATATGTAGGGTTTTTTTTAAGTATTTAATTGGAATTTTAGGGGGAAGCCTCCATAAGGTTTAATCATTTATTCGGACGATGTACTATGACTCACTCGGAATGTCTCTGCGTCAGCGACTGAGCGGGTATCGTGTGCTGCTGATGTACGTGATCCCGTTGTACGCGTCTCAGAGCAGGGCAAGTAGAATCCGACAATGTGGATATTCTATTTTCATCGGTTTTATCGCGGATACCTGGCAGCTTCGGCTGCATTGTGACACGCGAGAGAGACTGATTCCTCTGCTGCTGGTAGTGTTGAGGGGTTTGATGCAAATACACCGCAGATTGCCGCATCTGAGCTGCGTATCTAAGCATAAACGTGAGCAGAGAGTGAATATCTTTCAGTAAAGATCGATTTTCATTCTCTTTTTCTCGATATTTACATAACTTAAAGCCTTAGAAATTTACGCGTTTCTACCTTTCTTCAGAATAGAAGTAACCGTCATTGGTCGTATCTGAAGGGTTCACTATATCTAAGCTGGATTTAGGCCTCTGCGGACGTCTTTGTTGATCCGGGGGTCTCTCGCATTGCGTGGGTTGTTGCTGGGGACGTCTTGCTGCTTCATACTCGAGAAAGTCTGCGCTATGCGGTCGCGGTGGTGGTTGAGTTCTAGATTGCCTTATTATTGCCACTAAACAAAATAAATTACAATATCCTTTTTGTATTACCGCATTTTATTTATTAAATTACAGCGTTATTCGGCAATCTTTGTAACATGCAACTGTATTATGCAACACATAATTCAGTGCACATCATGCAGTAAAAAGAAGTTGAATTTCACTATATAAATAATGATACGTAAAAGCTCTAGATCAATTATTATAATGACACGATAATATAAGATAAAAATAGTATCCATTTCTAAAATTAACTAATAAAATAATAAAATTTTATAATTTTGCCGAATTAATATTCGGTTGCATTAATTAAAAAAAATACCGTTCACATTCACACTTTTTTAGAATAATCATATTTTAGAATAATCACATTTGAGAATAATCAATTCTTTTTATGCTTTAATATTACAAGACACGAAAATCACCATTGGCGATACAACAAAGTTAGAAAAGAAATTTTTTTTTTTTTCAGGAATTTGTGTTCTTCTTCATGTAATAATGCATATCGCCTTCACTGCAGAATTTTTCAAACGCGCGTCCTTAACAATCCAATAAGAAAGCCCGCTTTGTGACTTAGAAGGACATTGTTACAAATACATTCGCGTAGAATATTTTCATCTTTATTCTCTGGAAAGGGTATCGGCCGGAATGAAATGCCGGCCGTACTAATTACAAGCGCCTTTGTAGGGATCGCTGAAAAACAGAAAGCAAAAGAATGCACAAAGACTCACTGTTCGGCGGCGTGATGACGGGAGAATGCAGTTGCTGCAGATGCTGTTGTTGCGCGTACACGGGGATGGGAATGGGCGCTGGTGATGCGCCTTTGGTGTAACCGACCGGTCCTGCAGGTCTTTGATAAAGCTGTGGAGTGCCATAAACCTCCTCGTAATCACCGTTGCCCCTGCTGCTGGTCCTCGGTTTCGCACTGCGACCATACGTGTCAGGAGTTCTTCTCTCCGTCGATTGGGAGGTCTGACCGTAGCCATAATGCAGGCCTGATTTGTCGATTCGTAGACTCTGTTGTGACGGCTGATTCATCCGCGTGCCATAGATCGTGTTGTTCCTTTCGTAATCGGACATCGGGCTCTTGCTCGTAACTGTAACATCCGGTGAGACCGGGCTCTTCCGGTAATCCATATCCGGCGATGGCGTCGAGTACTCGTTGGAGCCATCTGTTAGTCTTCTAGGCTTCGGCGGTGCGTTCGCGTAAATCGGTTGTCCAAATTTTGTTCGAGGCATAGGTTGTATCGTTTGAATGCTGCCCGTACCAGGTATCTGCTGGGGCTGCTGTTGCTGTTGCTGCTGCTGCGGCGACTGTTGGACCACATGTTTATGTAATTGCGATGATTGATGAATCGGAAGTGCGTTCTGATGCGGCAAGTGATGATGAAGCAACGCTTGATGTTGATGCGAATGGCCCGGCTGCAATTGTTGCGACGGCAGCAAATGTCCGTATTGCTGCTGCTGCTGTTGCTGCTGCTGCTGCTGCTGCTGCTGCTGTTGTTGCTGCTGCGGTTGAGAGGTGCCGGGCTGGCCGTATTGCGGTGACTGTTGCACCCAACCATTCATCATCGGATGACCCAAATCGCTCGCGTGATTGTTGTTGGCGGAATTACCATTGCTGTTACTACCACTGAGGTTCGGGAAAGAGGCAGTGTTTGCGCTGTTCGGACTGGAGTTGTTATTGGAGGCATGACTGGGATCGTCTCGCGACTGGAAACCGTGAAAGCCAGAGTCGCTGTCGTCGGCACTCTGATTCAGGATCGACGAGATCGACGAGACACTAGGTCGAGCGCTTCGTTCACCATCCTGCGCTATTTCTATGACTACCGCAGCCTCGCCCCCGCCACTAATAAATGTAAAATTGAAAAATCGGATATTATTTTTAGGCTGCATTAGTCGATATCAGGTCTTTCACCCATCAAGCTTACAAAAAAACCGATAGTTTTTTTATAAGGTTGAAGATAATTTGATTGATAATTGAAGGAAGTTAATTTACAAGATTATGTATAATAAATATCCTCTCGATTCGACTTGAAAATTAGTATCAGTTTGATATTAATAGGATTATTGGAAATATTAATAGGATTATATTGAAGTTGCCAGATATATGACGCATATATATAGGTATAAATGAAACGAATTAATTTTAATACATTTCTCTAGTAGAGAAATTGATTCTCTAGGAGAGAAATTTTGAAAATTCCTCATATTATTAAATACATAGAAATTAATATTATTCCGGATACTGAAACTAAAATTTTAACATTTCGACTACTTTTCGATCATACAAATAAAGTTTCAACTAAAAGATGAACAAAGCTCATGAGAAACAAGCATTCGCTGTCCGCTGCTGCGTCTGCTGTCGTGCTGCTGACGACGTGCTAATAGACAACGGGTCAGCCCAGACTCATCCACCGGCAGTATCTCGCGGGTCGAATAACTCGAGAAACTAACTAACGAGTTAGTTACACCGTGATAACGCGCGAACGACAGATGCACTGCAACGTTTGCATCACGATACTTTCGCGTGTAAATAAACGCGAGTAGCCATGCCGCCCTAGTTTCCTTCCTAGTGGCACATCAAAGAGATGTTCATCGTTACTCCGTTGCCCTGTCGAGCTAATTTCGGGATCTTTGTTTGTATCTCTGGACGGAATTTACTGTCGAGATGTCATCTTTTAAGACGGTGTTGAGCGTAGTTCAGACAATGGGGAAGTTTTCGTACGTCGTGAGAGCTTTTATTTTCGTGGAAGATTTTCAGTACGGAAGGAAGAGAGAGGTCTGCGATAGCCACAACGAAATTTTTATAATATTCAAAAGCTTCAGATTTCATGAATTTTGAAAAATCCTTGTATGTATGCAAAAACTGGGATCAGATATAAATGTGAGGTAAAATTTCTATGCGAACAAAATGCAAATGCACGTGATGCATGAAACAGACCTGTATGCCGAACGGAATACGAAAGAAAGTAACAAGCGGATGAGAGTAAACTGGAAGGATTATTTCTACAAAGAAATACGTCATATGAAAAATTAAAAAAAACACGTGCAACATGATAGATGAATGTAACAGCAGCGATTATTACAATAATAGATTAAAAGAACACCACTCGGTTTTTTTTTATCGATTGCATCACTGCATTTCGTTTTTCGTATCCGTTTATTTATTCAAGCTGCAGAATGGCAAGAGAGAAAAATGTATCTGTTCCATGTTTTAAACTAATAATTATTAACGCATTGAAAGCGTACCTGACTTAAGTCACTCAAATTAGCATTCCTTAATTAGGATTAAATTATTAAATTTATTTAATTTCTTATGATTAATAAGGAAATTGTTAAGGTTTAATATAAATTGTACTTGTTCTCAACTTTCTATACAATATCTATACAATATCGCATAATTACTGTATGTTTCCTGTCTATTAAACAGCTTAAAAATACATGCAGGAAACTTACGGGCTAGGATCTTGTAAAAGCGTTGCCAGAGTCAGAGCATTCACCCACTGGTTCATGCTCTCTCGACTATCAGCCGCGAAGTGATAAGTCCTCATGTTCGCGTGTTCGGCCTTGAAGGCGAACTTCTTGTTGACTTTGTCTTCGGGTTTGCAGATAGTAACTCTATACGAAGGTAGTAATATCGAACCTAGCAGTTTCTCCTCCTCTGGGCCTGAAAATTAGTAAATTGCTACATTGCAATAAAAGCTACGATGACGAGACTAGTCTTATTTCTAAAACAATCAAGCAATAATATCTAGTTTCATTGAAATCTCGCGCATAGTAAACTGCTGAGCACATGATATTTTAATGTGTTTAATGCGTTAATTTTCAATTGCAGAAAGTGCAGTTAAGTATAAATATAAATAACTATGATAAAATAACTATGATAAATGACTATGATATATTTTCGTACATTTCGTAATGAAAACTTCAGATGTATGCCACGTTCAGATAGTCGGTCAAACGCAAAAATATTTATAACATCTTGTTTTCAATTCTGACTAGTTCAAATATACCATTTGATGATATAACTGCAATATTCTCTGTTTCTCT